GGTGCGTCATTACTTTCTGCGAGGTAGAGGTGGGGGCGGGGGCGGCGGCAACTCGTAAGGCTGCCCGCCTCGTTTCCCTGCCCATATCTGCGGCGGTAGCGGCACTCCGTAAACGAGGTTCCCGGCCCCGAAAGGCCCCGCCGCTTCCACAGCGTTGCGCAAAGCCCCCGAGGCCGTCATTTGCACGTGAATGCCCGCCGCCGCCGCCGTCGACGGCAAACCGCTGTCGCGGAAGAGCTCGCTCACCACCGCCCTCCCACCCGCTCATCCACTCGATTCTTCACGTGCTCTCTCAGGCGCCTGCTCGACCATTCGCCCGCGCATCCACTCGATTCTTCGCATGCTCTCTCAGACGCCTGCTCGACCATTCGCTCGTTCACCCGCTCATCCACTCGATTCTTCACGTGCTCTCTCAGACGCCGGCTCGACCATACGCTCGCTCACCCACTCGTGCACTCGAGTATTCACATGCTCTTTCGACCGCCAGCTCGACCATACGCTCGGTCGCTCGATCGTTTCCCATCGGTACTGAGTGCTTCCAACCAACTGCTGACCCACTCGATTCACCTGCCTCCTTCATATCTCCCAATCTTCGCATCTACACTCTCGTGGGCCTCAATTTATAGGGTTGCACAATCTAAAACAAGACGGGGGGCAACTAGACTTCTAGTATTCCTTTGCCATTTTTGTTTTTTATTTACATATGTCCTATTTTAGTATGAAATAAATAAAATCGAAAGCAAGGTGAATGAAATTATAACTTCAATGAAATATTTGTTATTGTTTTTATGACATTCCATTTACAAGGATGACAGATTGTTTGGAGGACCTCTTCCCCAAATATCGATCATAAATTTCCAAAATTGACTGCTTAAAAAGGGTTGAAATAATTCAAAATGTTTGAAGAAGTAAAATGATTTATTGCGAAACAGTGCAGGATACCTTTCAGAATTTTCAGGAGGAGCAGGCTCCCTGTCCCCCCCCCTTAGTGCATGCATATGCCACCACCCTTTCAAGTGTGTTGACAGTCAATCGGAATGGATTTGTTCCACCATATGCCCCGCCTCCGCTGACTGACCGTTCGTTAGTCCTCTGTCCCAGAGCCCTGTTTACTCGTCAGTTAACTCCTATAATTGCTGCACGCCGGTCTCTTGCGTTTCTGTTACGATGTTCGACCGTCCAGCTCGTCCTCCTCGGCGCGTCAGTGCTCGGTCTGCTCGCGGACCGGAAATGCCGCCTGCGCCGATCGTGTTGCCCCCCGCCACCCCCCCGCGCGTCCCGCCGGCTCCCGCAAGAGCGCGAAATCGACGGAAGTGGCTGCCTTCGAGGCGCGCAAATGGGCTGCAAACCGCCTGCCCAAGAGGGAGACAATCCTCTCGATGAAGCGACCCTATTGAGAGAGAGGTTACACGCCCTTGGTTTGGTGTAGATGTTACGCCTCTCTTCACGTAGTGTTGAACGGATTCGGTAGAGGAGCTGTGATTAAACGTTTAGGGTCAATCAGTCGTTTGCCTTATTTTTAAGCATGTCAAGATCACAATAAACATTTAATTTAGGCATGATGCGAAAAGGTGAAATATTCAAATATGTAAGTTTTGTTTAGAGTTATGGCTTCTCTAGAGTTTGCCACTTCTAAGTAGCTGCCACGTGCTAATAATGTAATTTTAGTATCTCATTAGAACAGTTTAATCCTTTAATACCATCTTCGCAGAATTTAGGCAAAACGAATTATATTGTGAATATCACTGCATTCAGCCACTATCACCATACGTAAGAATTCAATATAAATCAGGTCCGAAGAAAAATAAACTTCCCGGTATGCCAACCCGAAATAGATCAGAATACAAGTACACGATTGTATTCTGAGAAGAATATATTACAAATGATGTGTAGACACAATTCGATAAACCATAGTCAGGAAAACGTCTGAGACTTTAACACCAAGAGTTACGTTAGTAAACGACTCGTCGTATTCGACTCGTACACCCCCCCCCCTTCCGGCTTCTATGCATTTTCGATCCTGGTGCCATTCCAAGCCACGAAAACTCTCCTCCCGCCTCGGGCGACTCGCGAATGAAATCCGTCAATTTCACCACGGCGCGCGGCGGTCCCGCTTTTGTTACGGCCGGCACAACGGCGCGGAGGCGGCTAGCGGTGCCGAAAGGGAAAGCGGGAAGAGGCGGGCGGGCGCGCGGCGTGGAGGCAAGCGGGCCGGGCGTCGAGTCCGAGGGCGCCGCGCCCGCCCCCGCAACCAGCGGCCGGACGCGACCCGCCACTCATTTGTTTGAGCGACGCGCGACAGCCGCGAAACGGAATACCCACGCGCGCGCTCTCGCGGCTCCAATAAACGTCATTTTGTCACGGGAAGAAATTAGCAATAACGACCAAATTACTTCTCTTTTTATTTATAACGTTTATTTTTCATTCCGTCGCGGATGACGTGTAAAAACAAAAACGAGCAATCGTATTTAACCCTTCCGGACTCCGCTTGTTGTTCTCCCCCCCCCCATTGTTTTCTAAATGAAGGCGCAAGTTTTAAGGTCTTTCGGGACACGAGGAGTTAAGGGAAGTTTTAATTAAAACAAATGCGTGTAGCGTCCATTAATAAAATTATGATCATTATTAAAATTTTAAAGGATTTTGGAATATTTCACGAGTTCCAGTTGCGTCGCAACTAAGTTTCATTAGTGAAAGACCAATTACCGCTAATACATGCGACATGAAGGATAAACGGAATTTACACGGACATACACACACCGTGTCGTAAGCGAGCGCGTGTACCTAGAGGTGTTGGTGGACGCTGACACGTGCGCGGACCTTGTGGCGCACGCGCGCGCGGACACGAGCAGCGCGCGGCAGCTCCGCCGAGCGCGCGTTAATGGCCTACCCTCCAAATGAAACTCGAGTAAACATTAAAAAGGGCGGTAAAAATCGATGCGCGCGCGGTGTGCAACGTGGACGCGTGCGCGTGGGGTTCGCTGACTCACCTGGTCCTGGCGAGGGCGCGAGCGGCGTGGCGGCGACGTCCCGCGCCGCCAGGTGCAAAAGCAGCAGCACGGCGACCGCTGCCGCCGCCGCGGCTCCCGGCACCAGCATGGCCCGCCTCCTGCGCTGCGCCGCTGGAGGTGTTGACACGCGACTGGAGGAGCGGCTAGCTACCGTCTCACATGGCGGGGGCGGGCGCCGGCGCGCTAGGCCGGTCGGTTCGCCCCATTGGCACACGAAGGCCGCTCCGCTCGCAAGAATGTCATACGCACCACGGCACGGCGACGTGGACCCGGCTCCTCAGAGTGCTGCGCGGGCGACTGGCGGCGCGGACGTCTCAGCCCCGACCCGCCACCCCCCTCCATCGCGGCCGCGCCGCGCCCGACCCCCGCCCACCGACGCCATGCTGTGCGCTCAGGGTCGGCGGCAGAAAGCGCTACTCGCCGCTGGAGAGCGCTCGCGGGCGGTCGCGCCTGCCTGCAGGTTGTGTCAAATGTTACTCCGAAGGAGGGCCTCAATTAAGGCACACACTCACAAAAGATAATAGGTGAATATTCAGAATGAAACATGATGGGAAGCCCTAATGGATTTGTACTTGAGGGACTACGATTAGCTACATTCATGTAATTCGTTGTGAAGATACTGTACAGTAAATATGCAAATGAAGGACATTAAGAAGTAAACTTTTGTTTCTGTAAAATAATAATAATAATAATAATAATAATAATAATAATAATAATAATAATAATATTGCATCTCAGTTGAAGTATAATATTTATAGTGCTGTATAAGTATATATTATAGTGCTGGTTTTATCTAGATGATTGTCATAGTACACTGATATGAAAAGATTAATAAAGAGAAACAATTGAATTTTTTGATATGACCCTCTTTCATCAATACCCTTTGCATATCATTTTAGCGCAATGACTTTCTTAGAATTTCATAACTAATTTTGTTATTCTTTATTACATAGTCTCAACTATTTTTTTCAAAACATAAAAGTTTAAGTAATGGGCAATTCCTTTTCACTTGTAACAAACTTGAGAATGAAAAAAATACAAATTGTGTCCAAACTGTACATACCCTTATTTTCCTTTTTAATGAAATATAGACTAACATTTAAACAATAATATATTTTGAATACTTGTTTTTCAAAATATTTTTCTTGCTTATTGTTTTAGTGTTAAAAATATAATGAATTTAAATACTGATAGTTAATGTAGTATATGTAAGTATGAATGTAGCTTTTGTATGAGATCAGAGGTTCTTTACACCATGAAGATCTTATTAAACATGTGAGGAATGAGTAACAAACAGTCATTTAAAGGATGTATTCACATTTGTGATTGGAATAAATAATAATTGAAATTTATAAATGTGATTAAAATACAAGAATTCGAATTACAAAATTTTTTCACCTACATGCCTTTTTATTTGAGTAAAAGAGGGATACTTTTTCCAGTTTCATGCTCTAAAAATCAGAGGTCTTATATTTGCACTTGAAGAAAAATGTATCAGTACAATTCAAGAATATGTACATCTCTGAAGAGCCTAACTCTCAATAACTTACTAAAAGCTTTCAAAAACCTCATTTTGTAGATTACAGCAAGAAGAACTTTACTCAAGGCCAATGACCTCAAAAAACAGGTTTTAAGGAACACTGCACACCATTCGAATTATGCATCATCAGTGCACAATTATACTACTTCCCCATACAGTTTTCTAATAAAATCAAATCAATAGTGTCTGGAAACAGATACCTAAGTTGCAGACTGAATTTATGCTAGTCCAATTCAGTTGTTTACTCAAAAAGTCCTAAAAGTTCACTGAGTAAAAATAGGATTCATCACCTCTCCATGAAATTCTTTCTTTCTTTCAATACCCAATTTGTTAAAGTTGATTACATCTAAAAGCTGCCAAATAAATATACACTTCCTTGATCATTCAAGAGGGCGAAAATATTGAAAGGTTATTTAATATTCGTTGTATGTTTGTTTTTAAAAATTTTATTTGTTGGAAACTAATTAACACTTTCAAAGGCAGGGGTCATCTCATATCTGGATAAATAGAGTATTATTAAAGAAAAATGCAAAAAATTTTACTTTCTTTTTCTATTTTTTCATTGCAGGATTATTTAAAATTTAGAATGGAGAACATTTCATTTCAAGCTTGCTATGTCTCCAACAGTTTCTTATTGTGAAATGTGACCACTGGAATTGAAAGTGTTACTTGAAAATTGTCCTATCAATTTCTACAGAACTTTTGAACAAATAATTTCATTTAACATACAATTTAAAAAATAACATATTTTAACATATAATTGCTAAAAACTACTTTAAATCAAGATTATTTCAATGTGTATTTATTCAGGACAGAAAGGAAAGTACGAACTTAACACACAAGAATAATTGCAAGGTTTTTATTATCATTATAGTGACAACTAAAGCTTGTATATAATGTGCAATGTAATACACAATTCAAATAAATATTTTATTAAGATTTCATGTAATCACAAAAAAAGGTGATTAACAAATTCAACATTAATAGAACTCTTTGGGATGTTGATGTCAGTATTGAAATGCCCTGAAATACCATAGTTCTTGCCATATTAGGCACATACATAAGTTACAGGATACAGTAAATGGCAGCCATTTATTATTTCACTAAGAATGTTAACACACAAGTTTAATAAAACTAAAACAAAATATTAATAAACTAAGAAATAATGCACTGATTGGTAGCATCCATATCATATGTACAAGGCAACTGGTTCACACACCAAGCAAACTCTGGCAGAAAAAACTTTAACAGACAATATAACACTTTTACCCTTGTGAAATTACTCCATTTCATTCCAAACCATTCTTCACTAGAAACAGACACAACAGACAATAGTATAATAAAACATACCAAAAATAGGGTTCTATAGGCAAAATTAAGTTGTAAATATGGAAAAAATATTGTACTTGGAATCCCTTCATGGTAGTACATAATTATTCTTTGGAAATTGTATCAGTAGTATCCCTGACATTGTCTTTATAAGAAAACTGAGTTGTTTCTGAAGGCAGCAAAATTTTCCCAGGGCCTTGTCTCTCAGAGACAGTGGCAATCTGCCTTCCTACACTGCTGGCCTGTTTCTCAAACTCAGCTGTTTAATATTCATTGTTACAGTAAATGCTTAAGTATTGTCTTAGCATTACATAAAAAAATTGCAAATGCTTATTTCACTTGACAAGAAATAATTACAAATTGCTTCTAGAGAATGTATTCAGATAAGACTTATCTCACTTAATTGGCATTGTATTAGCATATGGTCGGCAAGACTATACAATTGTAATAAATAGGTAATTCATGCATCAAAAACCACAATATTTACAGCAATGATCTTCTGAAAAAAATTATTGTTGGTAATTCTCTGATAGTTTATATTGAGCTATTCGGAATACAGAATTGTTTAAGAAAGCCTGTCTACATCAGGGCCAGTAATCTACACAAACTGTAAGCGTAATCTTTAATATTATACGCTGTAGGAAAAATTGCTTCAGGTGGAATGATGAAATAAGGAACACTGTTTCACACACATGGTTCAACATAATTTCCTGGAAAGAGACCTGTGATGCCGTCCATTACACCTTCCCACCAACCATCATCATTTTTCTTCAGCACATAAATGACAGAGCTCTCCTGAAAGCTCAGTTCATCTTCCTTGTCGGCAAAGTAATCGTAGATAGCAACCACTGAAAAGTGAAAAAACATGATATTACATGATGAAACTATTTACTACATAATTATAGCGTTAATAATCGAATAATAAAAAGTAAAACAAATTTTAAATGTAGGGGAGACTTGAGCGACACCTTTTTTCAGTGCCAATTTTTACAGAGAAAACAATAGTTTAATGAAATAAATAGCAATACCTAACTAATGAAGCATTGATTCCATTTGCAAATAATTATTTTAATTTTGAAATTTAAACAATAAACAGGCAAATGAGATGCACAATAAATACAATATCCACATTTCCAGAGGAAATTGTTATATAGTGTACTTTTGTTTAATGGCTCAATTTTTAAATAAAATCGGAATTTTGTATAAATGGAAAATAGATCCTGTAACATTTTTTAAAGATAGTTTTAATTGGATCTCTCACTTTTTTCAAAATGGAATATCTACCAGTCTTTTGGGTTCTCCAGTGGTTCTATTAAAAAATGACCTGTGCTAAATGTGATTGAATATGTTAAATAAAACATTCCACTAACATCCTGATGTGGCAGATGAAACAAGAGTAAGACCACTGAAAGAATAGCTAAAACAAATTTTAAGAGAAAAGAATTTAGGGAAGGAGAAAGATAAATAAACATGTAAAAAGGTATAACAGTCTACCATGAAATAACACCGTCTTTGCTGGCAAATTGCAAAGCTATGTTATTTTTTCTTCAGTCAGGATGATTGCCAAGAGAGATACTTTTCAATGCAAGTTTTTTCTATGTATTCAAGGTTATGAAATACATTTTCCTGTTTTGATCTTTTATTGCATGACATAATAACTTATCAAGTAAGTTAATTTTCAATATTTTCTTTGCATTTTGTAAGAGAAAAATATCACAAAAATGTAATATACAAATATTAACCCTCCAAGGGCGAATGTGACGTATCACAGCAAACAAGTTACAACAGAACATAATTCCTGTCACTGTATGACGATATTTCTGTAAGTGCCAATGTATTCTTATTGCAGAGGAATTTGGTTCATCAGTTTATTGTGCAATCTTGCCTTGAAAAGGTATTATAATATTTTTTCCTGCTGTTTAAAAATAGTTATTTGGTTTTCATTCACCCAGATCATTGGTAAGTTGAATTCATCGTCTCTACTGTTATCAATACACTTTATCTCAATGGCATATATCTCTCATAGATAAAAGCAATGTAAATTAATTAATTATTTTTCATTATTATTATTATTATTATTATGTATTATTATTATTATTATTATTATTTTGTTGTTGTTATTATTTAATCATCATGTATTATTAGAAGAAAAGCTGGGAGGCGTGAAAAGGTCAGTGCGACATACACATCTCACTTGTCCTTCTTCATGCCTCTTCACAGTTTTCATATTTTTACTTTTTGTTCAACTGTAGTCAAGAACCAACATTTTTACAAGATTTCTTTCGTTTATAAGGAATAATAACTGTTTTAGAGACAGATGATGGCAACTCCAATTTAACATTCGATATAGCTATTAACATATCTAGAAATGTTATGAGTGTTATTACTGCAGAGGCCAAAAGTTAAAAATCGAGGCAGAGCTTAGCGGAGCCAAGATTTTTAATTTGGATGAGGCAGTAATAACATAAGCATTTCATGAAATTTTCTGCATTTTATCAGTCACCATAAAATCTCAAGATTTATACGAAAATTTATGATATTAAACAAATGAATATTTCTGCGGCACGTTACTACGATATAGTGGGGTGTTGCTTGTGATATAATTATTTAAACAATATTTGTTTACCATGATTTGAGAAAAGATGGCTGCATTCAACTGAACCCAAAATAACTTAGAGAAATGACGTTTGACGAGGAAGTTGGCATGCCGTGGCGACATCTTCAGATAATAGTGAATATGATTACCAGAGGAGTCATTTGGTAGTATGCCAGGAAAATGAGGTTAATTAACCTAATACACATCTTTTAATTACACTATTAATATTAAAATTAATAATAATTAGCCCCAAAACTTATATGAATTACTTTTATTCTGAATTGAATGAATATGATTTGTACAAAACATCACCAGATTTTTAATAAACATTTAACTTGTGACGAATCGATGGTTGTTTATTTACGTTGCTAAGGATGTTAAACTTCTGAACATACAGGTAGGTACAAGTGCACTGAACAAACCTGTAGGGTTGCATGTTAACAAGGGCTAAAGACACATGTGACCAATAAAATTGTTTACCAAATGACTTCATATGTTTTAAACTATAAGAATGTAACATTCTCCATAAATTAAAAAAAAATAAATGTTCTCACTAGATAGCATCAATTACAGTAATGACATTAAATTTTGCATAATTTTAACATAAATAACTTTTAAATAATATTGTTTCAGTAAAATTGCTTACATAAATATTTACTAAGTACTGTCTTAAAAATGTCACAAATAGTTTCATGATACTCAAGAACTGTTTAATCACAAATACATATCACATAAGAAGGCAGATTTCGAAGGTTTTCAGCCTGAATTTCTTCATGCATGCACAGAATATTGCAAGTGGCTGTGATTTGATCCTCAAGATTGGGGACACTAATGCCTTCTGCCGTATTCTACTCCATTCCAGCTACTCCGTTCCAGCAAGCTCGACACAGGAGCAAATAAAACTTACAGAGTACACACAACTTTCACAACAGGGTATTAAATAGTCGATTAATTAAGTATTGAAATTTCATTTCAATGAATGTGCTTCTCGACTATTAAAAACCTTAAATCTTATTTCATTTACCTCAAATGTTTAACTAGACTAAAAAGTTTTCAAAAATCAACTATTTCCAAAGAAAATGACTAACTTTTAACACCCAGAAACATACTCATCATAACAAATATTAAAATGGGAGATCTGAACACACCAAACTTCAAGAAAAGGAAAGCAAATGGATATCTTGAGTTAAGGAAGAAAATTAAGAAAACCTTTTGAGGCATAAAAATACCCAGAAAGGTAAGACCTAAAAGTTTTAAAAATAAAAATATAACAACTCCATCACAACTAGAATATTTGGGATAGATAGCTCATACTGTGTGATAAACACATACCCTTTTCAATGTAGTTCTTGGGCACCCAACCAGGAAGATCTTCCTCATCTGGCACTATAGGCATCATGTGAGATGTCCTGGGCCGGCCAAAGCCTGGATGCTCATCCTCTGGAGGGGGCGGAGGGGGCAATGGAGGGGACACATTGCCAGGTCGATGTTGGGCATGCATGTGCTGCAGCTGCTGATGTGGATGGTGCGGCAACGTGTGGGAATGATGGCCAGCTCCTATAGCAGCAGCAGCAACCATGTGATGCATCATGCCTCCATGATGTTCAACAGCATCCCCTGGGGGAGCTACAAAAAGGTAAAGATAAATTATGTGAGCGATTTTTTTATGAAGATATTTTTCCAAGAAAACAATAGCAAGTATTCAACATTTTTCAAAATTTCAGCAATCAAAATTTAAGTTCTTATTTTTTCCACATTTCCTCAATTTTTTAACTTCCAAAATCCAATCGGATAATTGGAAATTTGTATAAATGGACTTTGAATAATTAGTGTTATTCTGTATTCTTTTTAAATACATTATTTCAGCATTATTGCAACAATTTAGCACTTGCAGAATGGAATTCATAAGTTATTTGAGTTGCTTTTTCAAGAACACCTTAAGAACTGGTAGCAAAACGCTCCAAGTTAACATGCAAGTGTTACTTGCAATTAGCATCAACTACTATCACAAATTTATTTAGATATTCATATTTAACTTCATTTTATACATATAAATACTGACAATTGTACTGCTAAAAAATTTCCATGTAATTTATGGAAATGATGTTGTTTGTTTCACAATATTTCTGTCTGTTTTCTTTTCTCAAGCTACACATGAATATTGCACAGTATGCATGTTATTAGTCATCTCCATTTTCTCCCACATAACATGTTCAACAGAGTTCAAACTTGGGACCACAGTCATTTGCAGTCATGGTTTACCATGCTTTCTCTTAAGATAGGCTAATATGAAATTCTCTCTATAAGGCCAGTAGAAAACTAGACTCTACTGAATAATTAATGTGCTGCCTAGTGTAAATTTTTAATAGTGACAGGATTTCAATGCAAATATTCTCCTTGTAATAAGTAATAAGAAATATCTTATCACTTGAAATGTACGTGAAATGCCCAATTTCCAATTATTTAACATAACTTTATTATCCATATCTAGCATGTTTTGTCTATTTCCTTAATAAGAATAATTTCTGCAAATTGTTAAATTGTCAAAATGATTATGCATATTTTGCTGGAAAAAGTTAATCATCACACATTTATTTATTATATTGAATGTAATACATTTAATTTATAGTATTGTAATTTGAGAATCTATGCACATGGTTCATTGTAGCTAATACACACACCCTGCACCTGAATTACATATGCTCTGCATGGATCATTCTTACTCATATGCATGATTAATAACAATATCTTTATACACAAGTGTGTTCAGAATAACAGATTTTGTGTGTTTATTGTGCAATAGGCTGATTTAAGGGATTTGCGAGCATGAAAAAACTTATCACACTCACGTTACTTGTGGGACTGATTATCAGGAATTGTTTTGATTTGTTAGAGAGAATGTAGAATGGTCGATTTGATAGAGAGAATGTGGAATATACACCTATGCAAATCCACAGAAACAAGAGGTAGTGCTCAGACGAAACATTTATAATTGGAATGTAATTAAATAAAATAAATTTAAATTCGGATAACAGGTCAGTTTTTTTTTTTTTGTCTTGACAAACCAGACATATTGTCAAATACAGAATTCTGCTCAATTGCTATTAGATTCAAACCTCCCCCCCCCCAATTGCAAAATAATTTGTTAGTTTACTGTTGCTTTCATATTAATGTTTTTTTCATGGCAGCCGTGTCACTGCTTTTCCACAAAACCTTTTCTTACTCACTAATAATTGTGGAGTACAGAAATTTCTTTCCAGCCTATTAATGTTTGGAAACTGTCATTTATTTAACATTGTCATATTTTTCAATAATTTTCACAAATCACATTTGAGAAATGCTGTCATTTTGCTCACATATCTCATCTGAGGAGTTCGTTCTTTCTGTCTTTCTTTTTTGTTAGTTGAAGAATATCATACAGAAATTAATGATAAAATCAATCCATCTCCAAACAAATTGTGACTTGTTGGCAAGGTACAAAGCACGGTTTAAAGCACAATCTTGAACCTTTGTTACCTATTTGATTTTGCTTAGTAGTAATAATTTAAATAACTGCTGCTTTGGTAAATATTCAAGCACTAAAATATAATTAGACAAAATATAAACAACTTCTGTTACAAAGTAGAAGACTTTTTTTAAAAAAAATACTCTGATCACATGAAATTGTCATAAAAATTAATTTGATAGCATGACCACACATTTTGCACTAAAATATAATTAGACAAAATATAAACAACTTCTGTTACAAAGTAGAAGACTTTTTTAAAAAAGAATACTATGATCATATGAAATTGTCATAAAAATTAATTTGATTGCATGAACACACATTTTAAATGTCCTAAATGATGTTAAAGAAAGAATACCACTCAATTGTATGCTGTTCTAGCACCTTAGCTTACATTAATGCTTTGTAGGTGTTAGAACATAATATATTCCCTTATTGTTTCCCCAATATGAGGAAACATTTTGACCTGTACATTGAAGATGTAGGAAAGATATAAGGACTTCTTTTAAGAGATAATATTGGAGATGAAAAGTTTGAAGGAAATTCTGTAAATTTAGATATGGACCATGAAGTATGCAAACAGGATTTAGAACAATTTTATGACAATATTGTGGAGGATACATTTTTTCACAGGTATGTAAATATGATAAATACATGGCCAATAGTGATTTTCTCTCATCTTCAAAATATTGCATTTATAAATGGAGAATAATTTATTTAGGAAATGGCAAACAATACTTGTACCAATGCCATGCATGTTAGTTTCTACATAAAGAAATTTGCTCCAAGTTTGTCACTGTACCAGATGTAAAAAGGGTCCACTATTACTAGTCTTCCATGAGAAATTCTACAAATGGTGACTAAATAGAGAAAACTGAACAGAAATTGACTTAATAATAGTTTATGCTCATCTTACATTTAAAGTAACTCCAGAAGAAGAGTAAAAGAAGTCTTTAAAATGTGGAGATGAAAAATTTAAAAATTAATAAATATTTTTAATAAAATTGATTAATAATATTCATTAATCTAAATAATGATTTCTGATAAATATGTTTCTGCTCTCAATGTTTTTAAGAAATGACACACTAAAAAAATTCTGGCCAAAAAACTATAAATAGAGAAAATCAGAAAATCAAAGTAAAATTCTTTTGGAACCACAAAATACAAAGAGAAATAGGTACCACTCCTCCCACAAGGAAACAAACAAATTGTTGCATAAAATATGTTTATAACAAATGTGATACTTTCTTATGCTTATGCAAACAGGTAAAAATAATTATTAGTAAACTGCCTTTAACTTAAGCAGCACTACTATTGTCAATGAGTTATGTAAAAATGTATTTATTACTGCTTATTTAGGATTGATTTTACATAAAATTGTTTTCTGGTTCAGCATGAATAAAGTCATCTCTATACATTATATACCAAGATTCATCTCTCATTAAATACCTTTCTAACACTACTTCAGGCAATGTAAATAATAAAATTTGCCTAGTGGATCCATAGAATGTTCTAATAAAATGTAGCTATACCTAGTGTAACTAATCGACTTAGTTAACCCTTTGTTAGGTGTGCCATTTTTAACAAAATTTAATTTGAAGACACTATGCAATTTTAGAGATGTTTTATTTCTATAATAGCTCTTGAAAAATTCCATTCATTATCATTTAATATGTCCCCAACCTGGCACGGATCCACAGGGAGGGAAATGAGGAAAATTTCTCCTCCCAAAACTTTTCAGCAACTATTCATTTTAACTTGTCATGAAACTTTCAAGCAAAAATATTTTCGTATAAACATTAAAATGAATAAAATTGTATTGCAAACATGAAAAAAGTTTAGTCTGCGTCATTCTACATAATCTGAAATATATCACATTTGACCAAAACATTTTGAATAAAAAAATTTCCCCTCCCAAAATGTGTGCCTGCCCCAACAGTCTTGAAAGTCAAACTTAAGTTGTTTATTTAATCTACACATTGAAATGTTCATTGTGCCTCCTAGCTGAAGGAACTTTCTTTATTTTAATTTTTTAGTAGTATTATGAAATTTTGAAGTTTTGCTTGCTAGCTGATGAGTCTCTGGTAGGTAATTCTGTCTTTAGAAGTACTGAAACATGTAAAATTGCAAATTTGTGTGAATTGTAAGCTGCCAAATTTTAACTATGTATGCTCTGTGAACTCTTTTGTAAAGAGAAGAATCCCATGTATCCCACAGGCACAGATCCACGGGGAGGGAAACACCACAAAAGTTTTCAGTAACTATTAATTTTAACTTGTCACAAAACTTTCAAGCAAAACTTTGTTCGTACAATCATTAAAACGAATAAAATTGTATCGTAGCATGAACTGCGTGTAAACTGCGGCATTTAAAGAAATCTGTAATATGTCACATTTGACCAATATATTTTTAATTTCCCCCCTCAAAATTTGTCTCTGGATCCACCCCTGTGTATCAGGAAATTAATAAAATAAAATATCGTGCTTAAGGCCAGAGAAAGAACCTTAAAAAATTTCAAAACTATTCAATATTCACCAGGTTTACAATGATGAAATTAGTGGAAATTTATGTACAATTATCAGATGAGATGAAATACTGTAATGATTAAAATTTTCAACTGTAATTGAAGATTACATGCAAGGAAAATTTTGGTTTTTCATTCTTTTAAGAAATTTTACTCTATATTTCTCATGCAACTCAAGAAATTCAACCCTTATGAAATTGGAGACTAAGTCTGTACTGCATTTTATAAATGTATTTTAAGCAATTAATAGATAATATTTCTTGTATATAAAATTCTTAATGGCACACAAATAGAAAGTAATTTTATATAAAAAAAGAGCTAACATTTCAAATAAGCCCACAAGAATGTAACTGTACACTGCAAAGGTCAAATAGATTTATTGACAAAGTTATTGGTAAAGCACTTTCAACACAGCTCTGTATTTTCAGAAAATTGGAGATTTGAAGTGAAAAATAACCTTAATAACCACAAGAGAATAAGAACAATAATAACGAGAGACTTTGGCAGACACATGGACCTGGAAACAAAACCAACTTCACAATATAGCTGCTAAATCTAGAATCATATATGGCTCTGAATTGGGTATTGAAAGAGAGAGACAAATAAAAACTACAGGTGGCACATATGAGATTCCTGAGAAACCCCAAGGAAATCACAAGTGACAGACTGAGAAATAAAGACATCAGAAAGAAATTGAAAACCAAATGTTTGGTAGAAGAGATAGAACAGTCTCAAAGGAGATGAAAAGATCATTTACAAAGAATGGACAATAACAGATTTCCCAAATTAATCTGGAAGTACAAACCAATAGGGATCAGAGGTAGAGGCTGTTCACTAAAGAGGTGGCAACAGTAGGAACACTTGGAAGACTGACTAATATTCTACCAAGAATAAAACAATAGAAACATCCTGTATGGAAGAGACTAATTTCTCATCAGTTCATGATGGTGATGATGATACTCATGATGATTAACCATTTCCAGTTCTGATAGATAAGACAAATGCATGTTTCCTTATACGTTGTTATTTGTTACATTATGTTGATAAATAAGAAACCAATGGGCTTCATTATTTTCATTTCAGGAGACGAATATTTACCATTATTTATTGAAGTTACATGATTAGTTTTCTTACATACTTTACTTTATACATCAAACCTCCAGACAAGATTTTATTTAAAACACATATTTGAGGCATGTTCTGGAAGAAGGGCACATAAGCCTATGTATCCTTTTACCAGAAATCGTTTTAAATGAACTGCAATATTATACTACAGTTGCTGGGAAAATTACATAATTAATGGTAGCAGCCTGGCGATAAACTTTGTTAGCATTTTCTCAGCTGTTTTGATGTACAGCTGGTATTAAGACTCGAGCAGTGTTTACTGGTTTGTTTGATGTAGGGTATTTAATTGTTAACCTTTATGTGCTGAGAGTATGCATTTATTTTTGGCTACAATGGAACCTTTGTATAAAGAGGCAAATCGAAACTAGGGATTTTCAAATCTTTTTGTTCACGGCTCCCTTGACCTTAACAAATTTTCCCATGGCACCCCTGGTAACAACATAGGGCTACGAAAGATTCAACACAAATGAGTAAGTGCTATACATTACAAGTAAGATATAGTGAGACAGTTCAAAATTATTTTGTAGACATACGTGACATGAGGATTAAAGCAAATAAAACCGATAGATAATTTTAATAAATTACCACGACACCTATACCATATTGCCTCGAGGCCCCTGGGACTAGTGATGCACAGTTAGAAAAACACTCGTTAATACTAATAAAAACTTAAAATGTGAAGAAGACAAAATCAGAACCTTAACACAAGTAACAAAGTGATCACCAAAGAGTTTACATTAGTGACTGAATGTCATAAAAATAAGTGTTATGAAAAGTTTTCTTCACAGAATCAGTGAACCAAAATCAAAATCTTCAAAATACACAATTATAAAATTTGTTATGATGAACACCATATTAGGTGTAATACTGTGCTCTAATTAGTATGTGCCTTCATACATCCCATTTTCTTACATAGAAAGTAACATTCAAGATCTGAAAGATATTGACTCTAAACCTATTCCTTTTGCTGGAGTCAGAAAAGCAAAACAAGATGGTCAGTTTTTATTAAAATTTCTAGCAACTGAAGACAGTGAACGGATAGAATTCATCTTTCATAAGCATTAACAAAAAGGATTTCATGGATTAAAACATTTGTTAGTACAGTGGAACTCTATTTATATGTTTCGCACTCATGTTTTTCACTTTTATACTTGCTTTTTGTCAAGTGCCGAATAAATTCCCATAATTCCCATGCTAAATTATTTCAGATATGTGTTTTATGTATAACGTTTTTCACACTTATACATTCATAATAAAAGTCCCTTTAAATCCGTATAACATTCAAATGTTCCCTCAAAAGGTGACAGTTACGGCGTGGGGCGACCTGCACTTAGTGCCCGGAATTTTATTCGAGTTGACACGCGCCAGAGTGTTCTCTAGAAGCAGCCTCTTGGCCTCAGAGAAGACTTCCCATTAATGAAACTTGTAATATAGAGCTCAACTCGGCCTAGCTGAGGAGCCAAGACCGTGCGAGCCCGCGGGGCGGAAGTGCAAAGTTGGCTCCCGAGCCGCCTCTGACAGCAGGACTTCGAAAAATTTCAGAGTTGCTGAGGAAAGAGAACTGGAAACTGTGGATAAATTTAATTTCCGAGAAAACTAAATTTCTAAAAATTTTTGAAAATTTCAATAACACAATGCAATTTAAATATAACACTTAAAACAAAAACATAATATATAAATTTATAATTAATTTTAAGACTCTCGAGATACATTTATAAATATTTTAAGACTAAATCTAATCATGGAATATGTGCGCTAATGCACCCTACAGGCGAAACGTAATGTCAAACACACTAAGATAACAGACTTCTTTCATTAATAATTTTTTGAGCTGCGTATTGATATCTTCTTTTTTGGTAATATCTTTTGTAATAAAATGATAGTGTAAAGTATTGAGTTTTTATTTTGCTCATAATATTCAATTTCAGTTACGTATTTTTCTCACTTATACATTTTTTCCCTTCAGTTCTCTGAAAAATGTGTAAGTATTCTGCTGTAACTATTTTTGTCTCATTCAGAATAAACTATTGTTGTACTGTAATAACATGCTATTTTTGGAAAAAAGGCACATAACGTATTGTAAGAAAAAATTCATAAAAATTACAAATATTGTGATTTATTTTTAAAAGTTGTTTTCTAGCCTAGAAGATATTACGTGTTAAAAATAAGTTTGTAACAGGTGTTTGCAGGCTTGTTATAATATATATGTACAATAATAAAATATTTGACGACCTTTTTTCCAGCTTTGCCCTTCTTTCGGAATAAGCCTCAATTTCTCTGCATTAATTTAAGTTCAAAGTTGAGAAGAAAATCTAAAAATGTTGTACTAGTAAATTCATATCGTAAGTTTTTCAAAAATACATTAACTTTTAACAAAATTAGAAATAGCTTTTCTCTAAATCCAAAAATACATACAATTCAAGAATGGCATTTCAGCATTAAATTTAATTTTAAGACAACATTTCAATTTGTGAACATATAATGAAAACAACATGAACTGAGAGAAACAGTACTTACGAGGCATGCTGGTGTGATGGTCCACAGCATACGTGACAGGAGGTGGTGGCGGTGGTGGGGTCTGGGGGTGAGAAGCTTGTAGACTGGGATTGGTGTGAGGAATGGGATGCACCATGCCCACTTGAGGAGGAGACATAGGAGGAGAGGGGTGATGGTGGGGATGTGGAAGAGTCTGTGTGTGCAGGTGAGAGGCAGGAGGCATTGGAAGTGTACTGTATCCAGCACCTCTTTCCCCACGGCGTGGATGACCAAGTGGATAATTAGGAGCATAATGGCTGGGCACCTGAAACACATAACATAAAAGAAAATTCCACTTATCCAATTTTTAACTGAAGACTTGAGAGCTCATTATGTTTCTCAGACCATAAAAATCCATTGCCATTAACAGTGTGAAGAAGAAATCTCAAAAAAAATAACTATTTTAGGAACCTATGGCTTACTTGAATATTCTAAGTCTAAGATTAATAGCAGACAATGAAGAGACTACTAAAGGAGTTTCTCAGACCCTTACGGGAAACTTCTATTACTAATAGAAAATACAAGAACTAGCTCCCAAGTCTCATTATTTTCAGTCAAGTGCTACGCTTTCTGCTGCACAAGCAAATTGCAAATAATTCACAGCCCAGAATATCTCAGCATTTACATCATCTCTACGAAAGCTGATTGTCTGGAAAGCACAGTACTGCCTCCACCTTCACAGCCTTTCACTGAAGCAGCTAAATACATAAATTGCTAAATTAGTGGTGGCAAAATTTTCTACTCGAACTCTTCATATTTTATTTGAAACTGCCACCAGCACATATTGCAAACGAAGGAAATAATCTAATTTGAGCTGTATGCAAAGAAAGCACAAATGCATCATTATCTGTACTGTCTGAAAAGTAATATTTCAGTAGACAAGAAACTGTGTAACTGTACGCAAATAAAGGCCCAAAAGCAAAATGCAAAAAATACTATACAAAGCTTGCCGAGTGCAACAGACTATGAATCACCACCACTCCCAGGCCAGGGCAGAAGCAGTGACAATTTTGCCACCACCAGTCAAGACTACGAACACAACAGCCTGAAGCTTGCGTAGCTGCGCACGGAACACTCGAGGAGGAGAACCTCCTTCCCACCTGTGGGGGGGCGACGGCGGGCGGTGTGCGGTACTCGCGAGACCCTTTGCTCAGGCTGCCCCCCTGTCGCACGGCCTGCGGTGGCGTGGGGGGCTTTGTGGTGGGGGCAGGGCCTACCAGATTGGCGCCCATCATTGCAGCTGCAGCTGGTGAAGTGCCTCCCAGAGACTGGATGCTGCCCTGGCTGCTTCCACGCTGCTTGCTCCTTGGTGTGCCGCCTGTCGAGCCCGTTCGCACTCCATGCCCTATGTCGTCTAACGCTGAAAACCAAACACATCATTCATTTCTACTTCCTTAACTGATGTCACACACCAAGACAATTCTCCAATTTCTGTTAACTGTAAATATTCATAGCATTATATTAAAATATGGTTAAGAGATGAGAATAATTTGTACTCCGATCTGACTAAGAAGTTATGTATATGTATACCAAAAGTTATTGCTAAGAAAGTCATCAACTTCAAAACCTTTGACTCCTTCAGGTCTACTAAGCTGATTTTTGTCCATTTTTTTCCTTCAATGGAAAACACAATATTTTAGGTTACATATTTCTTTGAAGCATTAGAAGTATTATACTTATGTAGTGCCTACAAATTTCTATTTTCTGTTTAAATGTTGCCTATTCTCATATATACTGATCAAAATTCAATCATTCTTAATCAAAAATTTTTAAAATTGTACTTTTTTGTTTTTATTCTGCAGATTACAGAAAAATCCAACAATATCAATAAATATATTCAGTTTTACTGCAAACAGGGTGCAGGTATTTCATATTATAAACCATGCAAAATGACGGGTGGTTAATTTTTAATTCAAATTTTTAAACAATTTTTACTCAAGAAAGAGTCTGTATTTTTTCTCAAAACATTTTCCTTGTATGTATCAAAGGACAATAAAAAAATTGGTGCTGGGTTTTTACAAAACTCTATTTTCAAAAATTGCAAAAAGTTAATATTGCAAAAGTACAATATTGATTAGAGATTTTTGTCTTCAATGACATATGTTTTAAAAAATCAGATCTTTAGGTTTTAAATCTTTTTAAAACTAGTGGTTTTTGCAAAAATTCAGTATATTTCAATATTAGCCTGCATTTAATGAAAAGCAAGAAGATAGCTACTGTGATTTTTGGTCCAATTCCCGAACAATGAAAGATTGGATTCCAACGAGAATTTGTTAGAAGAATGATGAAAGAAAATATTTCATGAAGGTAACTATATTACGTTTACTTTAAAAACTTGCCACACAACATAAATAATGATAAGTGTATACAGTGCTTTTAAAAAAATTCCTATTTTGCCTGCCTATTTCTTCAGTTTTTTGTCCCTTTAAATCTACAGCTTACTCATTACAGATAGTTTTGATGAAATGTTACTTTGCTCTAGATTTAATTGGAAACAAAGTTACAAATTGGATTATTGTTAATTCTACCAGACACCCAGTGTTCATTAAATTCGCTGTCCCCTTCTTAATCAGCTTTTGTCCCGTTTTCCCCGATCCATTGAACAAATGCTGAGACGGGCTCTCACTTTGTTTTTGAAAGTAAATGTAGTCTCATTATGCATATGTTTTGTGAAGCTAATCTTTTGGCTAGTTGCAGGGGAAGCTGGGCAGGAATGGGGAGTAGGACATTATTTCATCAGCAATACTACAAAATCAAATTTGTAATGATTTTCCCGATTCAAATACGACAAAGTATATTAAATTATTTTTTTCTGGTTACCACATTTTAGGGTGCAATGTATTTTTGCAATGTGTGTTCTTTAGCAACCTTGACATGCAAAATTATCAACACTTTTTATTCTGAAAAATTCTTTGAACCCTCTTCAGCCTTCCAGCAGCACTAGCAAAAAGAGTGGCTAAAATAATGTTCAGGCCAAGATTTAATAACTATTAGTTGCACAATAACATTCTACATTTTAGTGCCTTACTCACCAGTATAATCAATAGGTTTTCGCACATATTTTATTGGCTTCTCTGGATTGGCAGGAGCAATGATTTTGTACTGTCGTGATGTAGTCTTGTTGGCAGTGAGCACTCCAATCTCTCGACGAGCAACTTTTTCTTTATGGATCATCACCGTCTATAGAAAATGATTTCTTTACAGTAGAATGTCAAAGTTGGCATTTACAAGGAAGAAGAAAAAAGTTTCAAACCTGTGCTATGTGATTCATTTGACTTTCCATTTCTGCTAATTGTGCTGTCTGAAGGTCGAGAAGTTGAAGAAAATTAAAAGCAAGAGTGTTGATTTGATAGGCAACACTAGCAAGTGATTGAGTGGTATAATTTTTGGTTTCCTCCAATGCATGACGTTTGTTCTCAGACTGCAGCACAAAAAATACTGTAAGAAAACATGTACAGAAACACAAGCTAATTCGAAAGGTAGTTACAATACCTGGAAATAATTTCCCTCGCAGTACTCTGCTACGCGTTCCAAGTTAGTATGACTGTCTGCAAGGCTGCTACGACCCTCTGGTATCTCGGTTTGAAGGAGCGCCGCCAATTCTGCCATGTTGTCAGACTCGCTGCCGAGGCCTGACTCCCGGTTGGGATCCATGACCCCTTGCAAAGGAAACAATACACCGGTCTTTTACAATGTATCCGGCAGGATATTACATCAGGTTACACACCAAACCGTGCTACAAACGGCACTCTTCAACAGCAGCAACAGGGTTCGGCCCAAGAGAGGTTATAATTCAGACTAAGTGATAATACTCAATTTACGAGTTATTCAGCTTCAGAGTATACTGTGCACTGTCTAGAGAAATTAAGCATTATAGTTCTTGCTTTTAAGTGCACTTTTCGAGCGGGTAATACTTACTTCCGCCGTGAAGATGGCCAAACAGCACCCCGCCCCAATGACAACGATAGCGGTGTTAGTGAGATTACGAAACACAGCAGTCCATACGATCAGTCTTATTAAAATGCATTCATTCCTTAAACTAGGGCATTCATACAGCAATCCAAGAACTCAGCATGCACAAACCTCCTGTTAAAAATGTACTCCACATCATTAAATCAGATAAAAACTCAGTACACAAAGATAATTGACAACTTCGATATATATCGAAATCTGCTCCTGCTCGACACAGCAGGAAAAGACGTCGATACAAACATCGAGATGTTATCGATTATTTTATCATAACAAGTTCGTTCATTTCAAAATAAATTCGAGACGCCCCAATAATTATTATAAAAACAAACATGTTTTTGGATACAATGAACGGGCAAAATAATATATAAATATAAGCCTCGCATTTGTTTCGTTCAATAGTTAGAACTCTATGACAAGCTCAGATCGAAGCAGCATTGCTGTAGTTGTTTTGACCTTCGTGATACATTACGCTTCCCGATCACGAACTTTCCACTCACTCGACCTTTTGTCTGACTTCCCACGAACCGTGCACTCTCGCACTCGATGGTTGCGCTTCCTACGCGAGCCTTTTTCGGAAATATTTGTGAGCGAGAAATTCCTCTCTAGTAGAGAAGCTAGTTCTGCAACTTGGTGATAGCGTGACATACTTGTTGTTCTTGCAGATTCTCAAATACGTTTACTTTTTCCTTCTTCTGTCGTTTCCCTTTTAATCGAATTAAACAGGTATTTTAAATCACTCTAAACATTTTAAAATGAAATTCACACAAATATATTTTCTTTTAAGAAAAAATGAAAATTATCCGAATACAGAGCCGAAGGTGTTCTTGCACTGCAAGGGGGAGAGGATACTATTAGAACTATTTTTCTACTATTTTTTTAGCGCGAATATAGCTAAATAGCGCCTAGGTGCACACCCAGAGAAGCAACCCCCCTCGAAAATACAAGTGTATGTATAGACGCACGATTTCCAATCTACTGTCGGTACCCAATATACTATTTCTTTTTTAATTTTATTTAAGAAACATTTCACCTATTTTATGCCACATTTTTTATGTAATACATTTACGAAATAATATGATTTCGTAAAATTTATAAACTGACGTGTCAAAAGAAGTGTCAGGAGAACTTTTTGTAGAACTGAAATTAACTCCGCTGGTTCTATCTATGCAAATTTCAAATGTCCAGATACAATTTCAAATATGTTTCAAAACGAGAATTTAAATAATCGAAAATTAAAATACATTCAATTCAATAAATTAAGTAT